TTTCTGACCAAGGGACCAGTCGAGTTTACCAGGCAGACTGCCTGACGGCCAGTTTGCATGGAGAGCTGTCTCGAGAACGAACTCCAGAGATGACCTTCCACCGCTGACTTCCCTCCTGGTACCCACACGGCAGAACAACATGGGTAAAATTGAACACTTGTCTTGGTGAAACATACACAGGTGCTCAGACGTAAATTTGATTTTTATCTTTGTAGGAGATTTGGTAAACTAAATGTTTTTCTCGACCTTAATTTAACTAGGAGCCCTAGTTAAAGCAACCACAGCTAAGCAGCTCACTGTATCTCACCTCACTCCTAGTCTCAAACTCACTTCTCAGTGTTTATTTTTGTTTACATGTTTGTTTGTTTCGTTTGTCTGTTTATTCACTCGTGATAACAAACTCTCTGAGTTTTACCTGGTTCAACATGTCATTGTTCATTTATTATTTGCCATAGTTGTAAATACATTTAATCTGTAAATAAATGGCCCATGGGGAACGTGCCAACATAAGCTAATCTCATTTTTGTGTCTTGATGAAGATATTCTGGTTCTGATAAGACAAGAACTCAGAATAAATTTACCCAAATTGATTTATGAGACTGACTACAATAAAGTTACAGTTTTTCATTTCTTTCCTGGGTCAATATTTGATCAAATTAAGGAATGTGGTGCCTCGATGTAAGATAATTTGTGTATTTAAATAATTCACAAATTATCCATTTCAGAATTCTAGTGTTTAATACCCCTACAAAAGCTAAATAAATATGGTATTAGAGGGCCAGCATTACAATGCAAGATCAGACCTTTGTAACATCACATGTGGAGTGCCTCAAATTTTTTATATGTAAAGGTGTCGGGACTTTTTAAATGTGTTCTATTTGCAGATGATTCAAGATTTTTGAATTTGGGTAGAGATACAAAATGAATGTTGGAGATGGTACAGACAGAATTTGTGAAAATACAAAACTGGTTTCAACTGAACAAATTGTCACTAAACTTAGATAAATCAAATTGCATGATATTCAGTAATGGTAAGAGAACTGTAGATGTTTCATTTAAAGTTGATGGTGTTGAGATTTGTGAAAAGACCTGTAACAGTTATTTTACTAGAAAAGATAGCAGCCTTCCATCGAATATATTTTGTCAGTTGAAATTCTATGATTTGCTTTAAGATATTTTTGCTGTTTATATATAGCGCTCACAAAAGTGTATTACTTTTTAACATCCAAGTAAATGTTTATGAGAGAGAGATTTTTATTTTAAGGGGATGGCGATGTGTGTGAAGCCTCTGTTTTGTACCAGTCTAAAGGAGTGATGTACTTTAATCGAGACAATAGGATTGTGAAATAATCTAGAGGATGACATTAAAAATGCCAGATCTTTGTACAATTTAAAAAAAATGATAAAAATTAGTTTAGTTTTAATTTAGGTTTATATTCTTTTGTAATTTACTTTTATTTGTACATATTCTGGAGATAAAATGGGGCAGTTATAAGATTTATTATTCTTCTGCTGATTGTATGTTTTTCTTTCTGTTGTGTATATAAT